CCCGAGGGCCCCCAGAAAGAACGAGTGGCAAGGCAACAACTTTTAAAAAGCGTGCGTGCGTGTGTGTGTGTGTGCGCGCCTCCTGCCAGCGTAAGGCTTATCTGTGGGAACGTGGAGTCTAGGGTAGTTCCCACGAAACCATTCCTTCCCCCTCCACAGCCTACCACAAGCTTGGCACGGGGCCCCCAGAAGACCGGAGACAGAAACAGATGATGAAGACGGAGAAGAATCATACACCTGGTTGGCAGGGGGGGGGGATATAGGGGGGGTGTATGGGAGGGAGGGAAAAGGAAAGGTTTACTGCAAGTTCCTTTACTGTAGGACTGACTCACGTCAGTGAGAGACTCTGTATATCCCGCGGACGGTTTGTGTTGTGTGGATGAGAGAGTTCGTCGTGGTGTTGAGATTTCACGATGCTAGCGCCACGAGGTATAGACGTAGCAGATCATCATCATCATCATCACCATCATCATCATCATCTGAACTTCGAAGCACACGATTACCATGTACCACCAATTTCTCGTACTATTCAGTACAAGAAGGTAAGTTCTCTTGTTGTATTGCTATCACGGTGAAAGACCTAACTAAAAAATTCTGTTAGCACTTTCATTTCCTGATTTTGTGTAACCCAGTTCTCCCTCTGTTTCTGTAAATCTTTGCCCTGATATCCGAAGTTGTCTTTTCTCTCGCGTTAAAACAATACCACAGTTAATTTTCACTGTGACTCCCATTCAAGATGATATGAAGTGAATTCATTCATTATTAAGTGTAATTCAGAAATAGCCTTTTGTACATACAGCTTACTTTACTTACAAATTCCCCTTATAAATACAGCCTTCAAAATTTCGTAAACTCAAATTTATCCCTTAACAGTGTTGTCTTGGCGGCCTTCATGTCGTCTGTTCCTCTGATAAATGAAAAGTTTTTCGTCTTGGAATTTCATATCGAATTATTGATTCATTTACAAATGTAGAATTCAACGGAAAATATATTTTGCTTCTGTATTACGTGGTGTAGCATTTTGTTCACAAAATTATGCCTTTGATTTAGGATATGAAACTGAAAAATTTACTTTTAACACAGTCAACTCTAACTTGGGCACAATACTTTCGTATGAGTAGCCTATGGTATTGTTTCCATCAAGAATCTGAACTTGGCCATCCGAACAATTTATTAGTCATGTATAATCCTGTCGCGTAGTCTGCTGACGAGTTACGAACTCAGTCCTCTTTGTGTAAGAGGGAAGAGAGAAATACAAACAAATAAAGGAAAGTTACTATCGCTGTTTTTCTTATGGCTTAAGTAGGCCTAACCGAGAATCTTTTCCCGCCATTGACAGACGGTCTCACGCTGTTAGCTCCTAATGGCGGAAAGAAAAATAGATAAGATATCAGAAATAACAGACAGACCGCCACTTAAACCTGGGAGCATTGATAATTAATTAAACACGAACTCCTTTACGTTACATAAATGTTTGGTAATGAAACGCGTTCGAACAACTTAATTTGAACAACTTTTCAGCTACTCAGCATCCAAAATCAGTACGTAAACAAGACGTTGATATCTTTTCGACTCAGACAATTTCATCTTGATTAATTATGGAAACGGTTTAAAGGCTCAAGTTAAGTATGCATATGGTTTACAGGAAAGGTGGTGAAGCCGTGAGCCCTCGAATTAATTATCCCACGCTCATTAGACAATACTGGTCCAACTGCGTATGTTACACAGCAAAGACGGAGAGGGGTAGGGTATCTTCAAAGGTTACCTCTGTGTTGCCTTGGGTTAAATGGTCTGAATAATACCATGAAAAGCTTACGTCAAGACAGCCAGTAATCCGGCCAAGAATCGAACCAGATACCTCAGAACATAAAATTAAGATTATCAGGTTGGTCATTGAGCCTTGGGATACACAACGACCTGTTTTAACTGCTCAATTTCCATAGACCTGTAGAATGTGATGTGTATGTGGGGGGGGGGGGGGGGGGAGAGACTCTGAATGAAAGCGGTCGTGGCCTATTTCAAGGTCCTGTCTCGGCATACGCACAGTGTTACTGACTAAACGCTCAGTTCAGGATATCCGGCCCCGATTCGAAACTGGGAACTCCCAGCTGCTTCATCGAACTTATTAATACTATTTTTGTACTAATCTTCGATAAATAACATTCGCAGTTGATTTCTCGTCGTTAAATGGTCTATGATACCCATGATAACTGAGTCATGTGATGGACCGGGGATCGATTATCGGAAGGAGCTGACGACGTTGTCGTCGTTGAATTGCTACTGTCTGGCCAACTCACCTCCATCTAAAGCCGAGGTCTATGGGGGTTTTACCTCCATACACCATACCATGGAATTTCATTCTTTGGCTCCTGTCGATTTTGTTTCAGGTGACAAAGCCGTTACTGGAGCGAAAGAGGAGGGCGAGGATAAACAAATGTCTGGACGAGCTGAAGGACCTCATGGTCGGCGCCTTAGAGGTAGGCAACTCAAATGACTTGTTATATTATTAAATCAATGGATATTTTATATCTGGCTTGCAGATAACAGCGCACGGATTATGATACATAGAGGCGATCTTATAATTTTGACGTGGTTTCGTCAAGGAACTTCCCATGACTGAACTACAACCGTCATTACTTGTTACAATCATCGATTTTCTTGAAAGTAGGCATCAGTTTCATGTCACAGAATGCCTATAACCAAATCTTGGCACTTTATTAGATTTATTAAACTGAGCACTCACTGTTCGTAGAGAAACATTAACTGCTCGCAACAAAAACATGTTAGCACAACATTCCGTTGTTGTAAGTTCTGTAATACAAGCCTACGAATTGGCGCTTGGTTCCACTCGAAAGGCAGCGTTGTAAATGCAACAATTTCTATCCCTTTCGGGAGAAAAGTCGACCAAGTGCAATATTTGAAGGTGTCTGCCTCTGTTATGGTTCCGGGACTTCGTTTGACTCATTGGCTGGCTAACTAAATAAACAATCAACCAATTAATAAACTAACGGAGTACTACTTCATGTACTAATGTAGGCCGCCCAAAACCCGCCACTGGACACATTTCTAAGCCACTTCTATCCATAAGATCCACGTTCCGACTTAGTCCCTTTCTTTGCCTGCCAATAACTTTGTATGGATTTTTCATTTCTTCCCATTATTCCATCGTAAATTCCACGATTTTACCAACACAAAGTTTAAAATTTAACGTATGGCTCGGGGAACCATAAATAAGAGTTGGTCCTCAATTTCGTTACGAAGATTTGTTGAATGGTTATCACCTGGATAACTACGTTCGGACTCTGGAGTGACTTGAAATTCTGATTTCGAATCTCATGGTTACTTATTTGGGTTTCTGAATAAAATAATCGAACATGACAAAGAGATAGAAAATTACTACAGCAAAATACACGATTACAGTACTCACAAGTAAGTGTCTAATGCAGCAGATCGGAGCAGAAGGTGCGAGAAATAGGAACACATCAACCACTGGTGATTAAACACTCGACACCGTCCGATTTAATCAAGCGGAGCGAGTTGAGTGGAACGTAGCACGCGTGGGACAGATGAGAAATTCATAGAAAATGTTGTTAAGAAACATCGAGGGTAAAAGACCGAGGACTGTATGGGTGGATGGGCCTAGAGGCACAGCGGACTGAAATGCCTCGGGTTAGAGTCTGAAGGAATTCTTTTGTGAACACGGTAATGAACCATCAGGTTCCATTAAAGCAGGAAAAACTGTGTACCATGAAGTTAGCTAATGCAAACAATTTAAATCAGTATGGTGGGAAGAAGGAAGACAATTTGTTTCGCCGCTGTCAGATTTGTGACGGTTGTGTTTGACTTGCGTGTTTGTTTGTCCCGGACTATCCGTCGTTTGATTGAAAGGAGCTCACTCGACCGGAACACTGTCACGGAATGACAGCAATCCGCAAACAAGAAAACAAAACCCAAAATACATTACATCACTTTCCTCCAAACGACATCAAAAAAGAAAAAGAAATGTTCGGGGCCCAACCATTATTTACAATTTCTGTGCTAGTACCCGGCCATTGGTCGAGATCGGGCGCTGTTTCTGAATCCTGTCTCGTCATTCATTGGTTTGCCGTTGTCCCACAACCACCCCGGTTTTACACTTGCTCGATATCACTGTTAACGCTGACGTACCAGAAGAAGTCAGGTGTTTCGTATTTTTATCGATAAGCACGGCGTTTCACGTGTCTAGTAAAATGTTAATAAAAGTAAAGGTAAAGTTTGTCCCACTATACGCCATGTAGGCGCTTGGGGGGAGAGGAGGTATAGCTCCTCTCTTCCTTGACCTCTGCACTAGATGAGGGTGAGTGGTCTGCATCACGCCCCGGCCGGCTTTACCCCCGGGAAAGGCCGATATAAAATCGGATCCATTAAAAAAAATTGAAAGCAACTTTTATTATTAGCCGTGATTAGCATAATAAAAACACGTGGGCTTTTTGGATATGTTCGTATTAACAATCAATACAAATACAGAGAATATTCTGTGAGCGGTTGATATATGCCCCCATCCGACTCATATTTTTGATATAAAGAGCGTATGACAGACAGACAGACCGGTGCAAACGAGTTCCTGACACGACTGGGAGGCGAGTAATTGCCTCTGGGCGACCGCACGCTCGATTGAAGGCGCTGTTTCTGTAGCCAAAACATTTTCTCATATCAGTGGCATTCTGCAGACTCAGAGTTCCACAGATCTGTATTTTCTAGGCGGAGGGCGAGAACGTGAGTAAGCTGGAGAAGGCCGATATCCTGGAGCTCACTGTGCAGCATCTGCATCGGCTCCGGCGACCGCGGGACGCCGCGGAGGACGCCCATCGCTTCCAGGTAAGGGCATTGCATTCCAGCTACGGGTACGTCGCGTTCCGACATCGACATGGGATCCCGACAGACAAGAGACGAGCGCTGTTCAACTACGTACTTGGGCCAGTGGATAGTCGATAACCGCGCAATCGGTTCACGGTTCGAGATTAGTACGTGCGATTTATAGAGTAGCGGAAAGGCTGGTGCTTCGGGACCAGAAGCGCGTATAAAAACCCGTATCCTCTAAGAAATCAAGGCTGTCAGGGTAAACAAATGCTGTTTGATCTCAGAACTATACGAAAACCAAGTACATTTTAGCAGACACACAGTGTTATAACAGTTGATGTGTGTTCTAAACGGGTAAGCGTGGTCTTCAGATAAATGCCAGCCAACTATTTGGGTCCATTTGCGTGTTTTATGAAGACACTTATGAACATTCCCTTTCCATAAAAGACAAGTAATGTTACTGCCCGAGCCTTCATTAGCTTTTTAAAGATTCTTGTCCATGGAGGTGGTTAACATACAACGGATGAAAAAAGTAGAAAGTTGTACTAGAAATGTTGAGAAGAAATCTGTAGCCTAAGGTAACGCCTCGGGAAATCGGTGCTATTAAGCGATTCTGTCCCACCTTTCCTTCGCATGAAACCGTGTAATTGTAGAATAAACCAATTTAATGAAGGTCCTCACGCATCTAAGCCTGGCATACGAGACGCTACATCCCACAAAAACTCTCCATTTACGTCTTACCGTCTCCTTTTTTAAATTATTCTCCATGTTTAATAGCTACCGATACTAATTAGTACTGCAGTAATTTATGGAGAAAATTAAGCTTTAACTACCTGGTAACCACTTAAATTGGCAAGCCTTAGCTTTATTTAACACACGAGAGGCATTCTGAAGGGTTTGGTGAAAAAATAACACGGCCTAAATTTCAGATTTGGAGGGGGACGGAGTTTCCTTGCGAATATGTTGAAGGAGGAGTAGTGGACACCCGACAAGGGGTGATACTCGAGCATCGGTGTTGCTGGTAGTTAACGCCCTCCCTACAAAACCAGTGTGTTACGAAGTGCTTCGCATTTCAACGGATTCTTTTTGGAACGACCTGAATGTGCACTTTTCAACAAATTTTAACAAAATTCTTTTAGAATTTTTGGAGATGAAATTCGAGGAAACAAAGACCTGCGTTCATTTTATAACTGCGCAAAGAACGCATTTGGATAACGTAAGAAAGATGGTGTTGGGTGTAAGTGAATGATTTGCCAAATGAAAACGTCAATAAACATTTTAGAATTTTCTTTCATCTACACCAGGTGTGGCCAACCCAAATGATCTTTCGGGCCACTTTGGAAATGCATCACAACTCCGCGGGCCACATATAAAATCATATATCCCCATATTAGATTTAGATACACTATAGACATTTTTTTGGAGTGAAAAATTGAAACATAATGAGTTATTATTATTGTGTTTACTATTATTCTTACATGTAAACATAGATAATATAATATATTTAATACATATAATTGAATATATGGATGCACAAATAATGTATTTTTTAATACATTGGTTTTCACTACTTTGGCCATTATAAAATGAATATATTTTGTAAAAGTGTGATGAATCTCGCGGGCCGGAAAAATGTTCAAGGCGGACCACATGCGGCCCGCGGGTTGGTCACCCCTGATCTACACCCTGTTTAAAAAATCTCCTCGTTTTCTGCACGTGTACTGACTGTGCTAAAAATATTCGACTATGAAATGATGGCCCGTGGTAGTTGTGCCTTTCCACACACCGTTTCCAGTGAAAAAAGAAACATATTGACATTGCAAGGGGAATTAGGACAAAATGAGAGACACACGCCAAAAATAACACAGGATTTATAGTTGTAGTCGCTAAGTGGAGCGTTTTTTTAAGAATATCCACGACAGTGTTTTGTTCAGGGAGTGTTAATAAAATGGCGGTGTTTCAAATATCATTATCCAATCACTAAGCCGGACCATTCGGCTGGTTGTTTCGCTCTTATTATTCTCGTCACCCAGTAATGCAGTGCATTAATGTCTACAAAACCTGCCGCCTGTTCTATATTCTCGGTTTATAGACGAAGAATCATTATTTTCTATGACCTCCGGAGGTCGGAACACATACTTTTCTTTTATTCATAGTCATTAGGAAAGTATCCTGTCGTTTACGTCCAAGAATGGCCATCTGATGTAGGAGAATGCTCTCTTATTATATTGAACTTCCTTGCCTTGCTGTTTTCGTCAAGAGGATTTCAAATGTGCTGCTTTATAATCATATATAAGCTATTTTCTGAAACATTTGTGAATAAAGCTGTTAACGTCGTAAAAACACGTATAAAACAATTTTACATCACAGTTTTTGCCCAATTATAAACATGAGACTAATTTACAATTTCTGGAACTTTGCATGTATAACTTTACTTTTTTGAACTGTAGTGACTCGTTTGAAAATGTTGGCTACGTAGTCAAGAAACTAGTTTTCTGTGCAAATATGTGGAACTTTATGGCTCTATGAAAAAGTTATATTCGCTCAGCTTCAATGGAAATTCATGTCTTTGGCAACGTACGAGGTGCGATCGGAAAGTTTCAAGACTGCGCCTATAAAAACCCGTAAACTTATCTCAGATATTAAATTCATCCATCACCCTCGAAGTAGTTCCCCTGGGAGTGAACACAACGATCCCAGCGCCGCTGCCAAGCCTGGAAGCATCCCTGGAAATCTTTCTTTGTCAGCCTGTCAAGCACCATCTGCGATTCTGCCTGAATCTCTTCTATCGTCTCAAATCTCCTTCCCTTTAGCTGAATTTTCAACTTTGGGAAGAGGAAGAAGTCACACGGAGCTTAGAAAGGAAGCTGGGGTCGGTTCTTGCAAGATCTTTAAACTCCTGACAAACGAGAAGTCGATTCTGCTTCTAGTCCTCTGACAGGATGCGTCGCATGTGGAGTTCTTCCTTTAGAATCAGCTGACAGGTCCCATAGCCTATCCCAAAAATGTCGCACAAGTCGTTGATGGTACGACATCGATCTTCGTGAATGGCCTGCCGAATCTTCGTAACATTTTCGGGCGTTGTGCTCGAAGATGGTCGTCCAGAACGCTCGTCATCATCGACAGAGGTTCGGCCATTTTTAAAACGTGAATGCCACACAAAAGTTTGTGCACGACCCATTGCGGACTCCCCAAATGCTTGCTTTAGCATTTCACAGGTTTCCGTAGCCGTTTTGGCGAGTCTTTGGCAAAATTTGATGCACACGCCATTCCGAAAGCGCAGGAGGGTCGGTGTAATGCACTACCAAAACGCCCGTAACTACATCAAGAATGTTTTCACGAACTACGCTCAGTTCAGTCGTAATCAACTATCAACCAGCTAGGAATATTTTCAATTTCAGTTACGATTAAACCCTGTGGGGATGTGCGAGTGTTTGAAGCAGGTACCTAGGAGATTCCCTTGTTCCAGGCTGGATTCAGTCAGTGCGCTAGTGAGGCCTGCCAGTTCTTACTGTCTCTGCCTGGGCTTGACGCTCGAGTTGGACGCCGGCTTGTGGCTCACCTCGGTCAGTGTGTCTCGGCGGGCCCTCTCGGTGTTACGACTGACCCGCAGTCACCCAAACTCCGTTTCTCAACTCATTCTCCGTCCACTGCACCGAACCAGACGCGGAGTCCTCCAGGGCCACTCAGCGTCCAAGTGCCAACTTCTTCCCGCTTGTGTTTCTCTCCGCCTGTGTCACCATCATCAGCATCGCCAGAACTAAGTCCTATGGCATCGTTTCGATCACCGCAGCCCATCCTTTCCTCGACTCCCAGCGTTCAAGACCTGGCGAGGCCCATTACGGGGCTCCTGATGACTGTTCCAGGTAAGGGTGTAGATTCGGCGAGGAAGTCAACAGAAGATCTTCGGCAAATCCAACAACAACAACAACAACAACAACAGCACCACCAGCAGCCTATGTGGAGACCGTGGTAATCGCAAATAGAGTCGAGATAGCCGGTCTGCTGATATTTGCACCAGTTATGTTGAGAGTTCGCGGGAATATTCGAATTATAGACAGAAACAGTAGCAGCAATTCAAATGGAGCCCGTACTGATTGTCAGTAGAGTAAAATGTATTTAGGGAAGTTCGTATGAATCCTGAAAAATAACTTTTTTTTGTTCCACAGTTTAATCTGGTAGAAATTTACCGACGTAGAAGACCTTGCTGCCTCCACCATCAAGGCGATGCGTGATTATGGAGGCAGCAGAGACGTCTGAAACGTCGGTGAACTTCTACCGGACTACGTGGCCTTATAACCCATAAGAGAGCCGTCTTCTTAGTCGCCACTGAGAATCTCAAATCCTACATCTGAATCCTGGGGACTCTGCCATTAAATGTTTTCTTACAAGCAAAAATTCGGAAAACTTACTGCCGAGTTAAACACGTTATCAATTTTAAGCTCTTCATGAAATGGCTTAAGGTTACGTCTTGAGTTGGGAAACATCATTTTATATCGGTATATATTTTTTCTAATAAATGTAAAATAGGCAGGACGAATGTGCTCTATAATTATTATGTACAGTTGTTTGTGTGTGTGTGTGGGGGGGGGGCGAGTATGCAGCGAGCCAAACGAGTTCCCCATCTCAGAACATCTCAGCGAGACTTAATAAAACCTAGCAAACTGCATCGTTAATCGTTTACGAATGTTCGTAGCAGCCAATTTAATGGAAATTTTCTCGAAAGCCATGGTAATGTCTGTGACACTCTGTCCGCTGTAAGGATGTCGGGTTACCCACTCCCCATATAGCCTATATAAAATATAAACAGTGGTTAAAAATACTTGAAGCGACTTACTGAACTCTCCGTGTTCTCGTGGACAACATGGAAACTATTTTTCTGCACAATTCACGTGGAGACCAAAACACTTATCTACCGTGGGATTTATCTCTCAAGGTTCCTGTTTCAACCATCCCTTCACTGTTCCGAATTTATCAGTTATGGTCTCCCACATTCACGCGTTTCTAGCGAAGATAAACGCTGGATGCTATGCGGAACGTAGCGAAACGTCGACTGAAACACGACGACATTACGACAGACATCTTAATCCCACGGTATGATATGTGCTCAGTCAGGAAAACACTCTAGAATATGACAATGGCTGTGTATAAAGCGTGTTGTAAGATTCGGTGAATTACTTGCTTTGTAAACTTCCTCTTAACTACCCCTTGTAGATTTACGTCATATATTTGATATTGATCCTGTTGTATTAAGAGATGGTTATATTAATTTGTAGTTTATTAGTGGTAGATATTGCTTTAATACGCGGCTCAGTGATCTCATTGTGTACAAAGTTTTAAGAAGTCTCCCTTTTAAACTATCCCATTGAATTGGTTATAGTAATGAGCATTTTTAGAGTTAGAGTTAGTATTTGATGTCAGAAACAAATACGAAAGTGAGTTTTCGTAATTGGTGCTCCCGGTATTTTTCATATTGTCACCTATTTTCTGTCTTTTGACGTTTCCAAATCAACTGCTAAAGCAAAAGGAACTCTCAGGCACTCCGAAATACTTAAGAGATTGAGTTACTTTGCATCACCGTTTAAAAAACACGTAAAGTTAAAAAGTCAGAGAGAGAGAGAGAGAGCTATGGCAAGGAAAAGTAGTTAAGTAAGGTTCTAACATTCTCCAGATTTAATATTTACTAACATTAATTATTAATGAAGGTCAAAATGGGTACTCATACTGCATGATAGTTCCTCTCGTACGGCCCAGACGTGTCTGCATCAACACAAACTTAAGTAACCGTCTCGTACTTTATATAAAAACATTCTACTTTAACAATTTAAAGTTTTCAAATTATAAAATTTTGTTAATTTAATAATTATCATAATTTCAAATTATCATAAAAATGCTGTATATAAAATTACTCAACTTTTGATCTTCAGTTCATATAGTCTCAAGTGTCTGATAAACTTCGTAGAACAAATACAAAATGTCAAAATGCTCTTAACAGTGCGTGAAGTGTTATTATGCAATAATCAGAAATCTACTACCGATGTCTTTCAAATGTGTAGTACATATAAAATAGATGGGTAGTTTGCTAAACCAAATATTGTACAAATGGTTTATGTTTTGGATCGATGAATTTTAGTTCATATTGTGTTTGATGAACGATAATTTTCTCTGTAATTGTTAATGTGTTACTATCTTATGCTGATTTTTCAAACACAAGTTATTTCAATTATAGGTGCAGTCATGTTAGAAACCTTTAAACATGTCGATTGATATGAAGGTAATGAATGGTTTATCTCTTAACATTCAATATGATGATATCATTGTCGTATGACGTATTTGCGGAATGTAAAGCCGGCTGCGACCACGTAGGCCTACTTGCGATATACCAACACTTCGCCTGGCGTATTTTGCCTACAAACACTGCGCCCTCTTTGTCTTGATTTATTTCGTATTCAAGAAGTGTCCCACCATCTCTCAAGATTTAAATATCATAGCTTCTCAACTACAGAAAATCCTCTTTACCATGGAAATATTTAACTCGTGTTTTCGTATAATAAAATAATACCTTGAAACGAGACACTTTGCCATGGAATATCTAATTGTAAAATCGGTCGGAATTAATTTAATACAAACATTAGGCAGATGTAAAAGGAATATGAACACTACTTCTCATGTGGGGCTAATGACAAAATGAAGTACAAGTGGTTGGCTCTCCGGTTCCGTACAATACGTATAACTTATGAACCTGATGAGCAACTATTAGCTTCTCAAGAAGGGAAGGTTAACATGACTGCACAGAAAATACAGTAATGGTTTATCCTATCTACTTTGTTGCTTTATAAGTTGGGGTGAAGTGTCCAGACACCTAGAAAAAAAGCGCTCTGTGATTCTCAAATATCCATATTACGGTTCCTTTTTGCAAACTATAAAAGTTTTTGTAAGATACCATAATTTGTACATGCCTAATACGTTAATGAAATAAAATATATTCATATTTAGACTGGACTGTATTTTTTCGCTACAAGATCTGGTTTCTCGTCTGGAAACAAAAGAGACTGCAATTTTCCCCTCCTTGAACCCTAAGGCAATGTTTCTGAATCCTGCCGGCATTACAGCACGCTAGAATAGTCTCAGGGCACGTGGAATCTTGTGTTATAATTTGTGCGTGGAGGCCTGTATTATTCTCTATACTTCTATATGATTTTTAATTGCGTAACGTCATGATAACGGAGTTTTTCAACCACTCCAAGGTTTTCTCTCACATTTTTATTAAACAGAATATAGGCGAATGACATTGTAGAAAGGTATAAATTTTCTCGCTTCTTACCTCGATGTTGAAGTAAGAAAAGTTTGGAAATGAAGCCTAAAACAAACAGTAATTCAGCACAAAAATGAATTTGTAATAATAGACTGTACCTAGTTTTCCTCCGGGGGCTTCTTCCCAGGTTTCTCCGTGGCATCCCAACAATTACTCCATTCACACACAGAAGAAGGCAATGGCAAACCACTTCTGGATCATCTGTCAAGAACGTATATGAACAGGTCCCAGTCCGAGAAAAGGATGGAAGGATCCTGTTCATATGGACCTGTCGTCAGACAGAACACTAAATAAATAAATAGACTGTACCTGCAGGTTTAAGACAAACATCACGACTGGTGTTAAAAGTAACATGGGACGCATTTGACAAATCTTTGTACACCTTCCATGTATCAGCCTCATTTTACACGACTGTGCCTGTACTTAAAACTCTTAATTGATAGTTGGACAACACGTTGTGTAGAATATTCCATCAAACGCGAAGAACTACTTGCCTCTATCTGAAATAATGAGGGCTTGTTTTATAAAACTTCATCACGCCACAGCGGAAAATCTGGCCAATACAGGCGATGTTAATTAATGTTAAATAAAAATATGTAACTGGTTCACGTATGTTTGATCTGAAAGTCAACCGATTCATTTTTCAAATGAGACGACAAGCTGTAATGAGAACCTTCATCACGGGTGCAAGATTTATTGCGACCAATCCAATTATATGACCTAGACCAGCATTGTCCATTTCTGCCCACTGAACTCTTTGAGTTGTACGTTTCTACGTATTGCATCTTCATGGATGTGAAACCTGGTCTCTCTCACGGAAGGCAGGCCAGAGCGAAACTGGAGGGTAGTCAACAACACGAGTGGATGGGAATATTTGGGCACACGAATGATGGAAGTAACAACATTAGGTCATGGCTAGAGCTGAGCAAGATCGCTTTCGTGCAGAAAACATCAGCTGTTTTATACGAACCTAGAAATGATATCTCAGTTTCAGCAGACATAATCAGTCAACAGAAAAAACTTTCAGGGACCCTACGCGTAGATGAGATTAATATTAAGATGTACATTTTAAATAAATTATCAGGATATGAACTGGACTGAGCTGGCTAATAATAGAGACAGAAATGAAAGAAATTTAAAAATTTGTATACATGAATTGGGATCAGAACAAAATCAACATAAATATTAAATCTCTCACCACTGTTCCAAAATGTGAACACGAAGGCAATTACGACCACGCTCCATTACGGTTTTGATCTAAAGCAATTTATTATAATAAAATAAAAAAGTGGTGACGATGTGGTAGTTCGTCTTAATTCGTTTTAAACTTAATAATAATTTATTTATAATTAGCCTATTTTTATTTTTTTTATTGCCGATTGTTGTTCATGCAATAATTATTCTCCCATTAGAATAACAAAATATCTCTCAGAACCACCAATAATTACACTTTTTGAAGGCAAATGTCCACTTGCACGTGCGCCCTAACAAAGCCGACAGAAGGTAACAACAAATGCGCCACTAGATTCAATGTTTTATTGAAATAACGCGTGATATTTGATAAATGAAATTAATTATAATAACAAAAAGTTCAAACAAGTTAAACAGAACGCGTGATACTTGAAAAACAAATTATTTATTAATTATAATAAAAAAAACGCAACCAAGTTTTATCACGAGAAGTACGTACCATTCTCACTTACATGCTACTCGTACATTTGTCATTGTACACACTACAGGCCTGGAATAAGAATGGATCACCCACAAATATTCTTATGACGTCACGCTTACACAGGGATTGGTTTCCAATTATATCAGCTGGCTGAGACAAGGGCCTCAGCTGGAAAAGAGAATTGCCAATATATGTTTTAAAGCAATCTCTCATGTAATCCTATAACCGAAGACAGAGACTAATTATAAATTTAAAAAGTAAATTAAACCCATACACAGGCCTCGTACATACAGTCTCTTTTTTGCATAAAAGAGTTGTTTCTCGGGTAACTTGAATTTATGGCGAAAATAATTAGGAAAGCCCGGCAACACCTTCGCATGTAACTCACAAAATAAAAAGAGAATAATTTCAGTTGAAGGTCGGGTCTGCTATTCTTCCTTCACACAAGTCCCCCGCACCCCCACCATCTGCGGGGCAGGCATCGGGAAGGCAACGCTCACAAGGCACCTCTTGTTACTGCAGAACGGCCGTTAATATCACTTCCGGATCCTGCAACACCGGGCAACGTGGACCGGAAGCCACCCACTCGCACCTCTTCCTGGCGCCGTTTATCGCGAGCTGCTGCTAATGAGATGATGATTCTCGTATCGCCAGCTCTTCCGGCACGCGAGAGTGTTCCCACGGCAACGCAATCACTGGGTTGTGCCCAGCAGAGCGATATGATAACTGGGTCCTCGTCAGCACTCCCTGCGGTACTACGCGAGTCAGGACTGCGATCGTAGCAAAACTGGTACACAGGCAGATGAGAAATGCGCACAAAATTCTAGAAATATTTCAAGTTCTTACAGCGCGGCGGTGAACATCAATCAACACCCCAATTATGGAGGCAGTAAGAACCTTTGAAACGTCGGTAAGCCTCTATCGAAATCAACTACACAGCATCTTAGAAGACATTCATCTTCTGCAGTCTGAAAACTTCGAGGGAGGAGAGACAGAAAAAGATGAAAAAAATAGGCTACAATATTAAAATGGATCTTTGGTAAACGGTGTGAAGGGAGGAAGTGGAATTGAGATGGCTGATGATGCTGAGCAACAATACTAAAGACCTCCCGGGTTCCACGAAAGAAAATTAGTTGACCAGATGGGAAGCTGCGGCCTTGTAATTTTTTAAGAAGGACAAATCATAGCAACTTCCACAAACAGTTTTTTGGTCTGGATTTCTTGAAACTAATCTGACACGCGTTTCGGAAAAGCTGAGTAACACTGACTTCCAGGAATTTCAGTACAAATTTAATTCTGCAGTGGAAAACGTTGTTAAATTTCATGACTTAAGATTCCTTTTAGAGTGATCACTCTTAATTTTGGGGAGAAAATATACCGGTTAATCTCTTTTCATGACTATATTTGCTTTATTTATGTTAGATTTTTTGTGAGACAAGTAAATTATTTATAACTAATGATCACACATGCTCCAATTATCCCTAACACAAATGACGTGGTTTTTATTGCATAATTTGACGTGGTGCACTAATAGAAGCTTTTTCTCATCTAGATAAGACTACACGTCCTAAGCCACCGCGATGCTGCCTGGGGCTACGTCACAGCATAACTAATGGGAGAAAACAGGAGAATTTTAATGCGGACTGACGAACACAAACGCGAAACATTCCCAGAGACGTGAATTCTTTTACAAATGCACCGAGAACTAAAACTTCCAAATTGGTGTCTGAACGTTAATTATAAACTCGATTTCCTATCTAATTAGAATATTTTATTTGATAACAATGATTAACAGTTCTGCGAATTTCTTTGCAGATTCTCTGTTTTCTCATGGCGGTGGATACGAAGGACAGTTTTTGTGAACACCAGCCGGTAAGGACACTCAAATCCCTCCAATTCTTAGAAGTAAATTCACGTAGAAGCAACTAAGTTTGCTTGCAGACAATACGAAACAGTGTAATCGTTGCAATTTCCGTCTTCTGGGTTGTTGCGCTGTGTAGTCTGGTCGATGTTAACCAACGCCCTGATGATGGAGGCAGTATGACCTCCGAAACGTTGGTTAACTTCGACCAGACTACACAGCGCAACAACCCAGAAGACAGAAATCTTCATACTCTGATGACGGAGGCAGTAGGACCTCTGAAACTTTGGTAAACATCGACCAGACTACACAGCGCAACAACCCAGAAGACATAAATCTTCATACTCATCGCTGTGAGAACCTCAAGTCTTACACAGTGTAATCGTTCTTGAATGTTTTCTGTTCAGTCCAGGACTAATTTATATTAAATGCCTTGTTCTTCAAGGAATGTCAGTCCGAAGAGCTGGAGACCTAACCGACCAAGAGATAGATAACATCGTATCCAAAATATCCATGGCAACAGCAGATGGTCACGTGAACTAGGCTGCTCTGACATTTTACGCGTTCTTTGAACGAAGAACGCAATATGTCTTCATGATGGAACATCGTGTCTAAAATCCTCAAATAAATCAGATGAAATTTGATGGGGTTGACACTAGGCCTAATAGTTCCGCAATGAATTTCATTTCCGCCCTCGTCAGTCTATTACAACCTCTAATTCACACGCTTTGTGACACATAAATCCTACTAATTTCATTCTTAAAAAAAACAACTTTGAGAAACTTACAGTTGCTCAGCTAGTCAAAGAAATTCAAAGTATTTTATGAAAGCCAAAGGTTCATCGCTGTGTTTACAAGAGCCCGCGAACGGGGTACATCCTGGGTCTTCAGAACCTACAAGAAAGTAGGTATGAAGTAACAACACTATTTTAATTATACATTGACTGAAAGAAGGTTGGGTTATTTAAGGACGCTGTTTCAACTGCTGTTGTAAAAGAGAGTCGAATGAGAATGGAATGTGATCTTGAATGCTGAATAGATAACAATTTAGCAGGAGGCAATCATAATGAACACTAAGATAACACATCAGAGTTTGTCTGCAAAGACTCAGCTGTTGTTGGATTCGTGTAGCTCGAGCTCTGGTATTAAG